ATTTTTTATATTTAAAATGAGATGTTTATCCTGTATTTGATTGTGTTTATCTGCAGTTAGTTACACGAATTCAATTATGAGATGAAATCGGATAGGGATGAAATTGTTTAGGGATGAACGGGTTTAAGAGTTTTAAGAGTTTAAGAGTTTTTAAGAGTTTTAGCCAAATGCTTTATAATATAGTATAGATAGTATAGATTAGCAATAATTAATTTTTATTTATAATTAATAGTAATAGACAATAATTAATATTAATGAGAGTTATAATTCGAAAAAGTGATTAAATTTTTTTCATAAATTACTCCAATCAGCGTTTCAATAAATTAACTTATAAAGTAACTTACTTTTACCAAACAATATCAAAATAATAAATTTTATTGTAATAAAAAAACATAAATTTAAACTAAATAGAGAAACAAGGTAACAATTTGAAATAATAATAATAGTAATGGAAGTTTTTTATGTTAAAAAAATGTTTCATTTTATAAAATTATCCTAATTACTTAATAATTTATAAATTTTAAACTCTAAATAAAAAAGTAAATTGCATTCTTCATCCATATGGTTTACATGAAATCACTCTCTACATTCCTAAATTCAATCATTATTGAAAAAAATCCATGTGGTTTATATTTTCATTCGCCTTTAATCCTTTGTTCTAACTCTGTTAAGAAAAATCTATCAAGTAAGTTAACTCAGAGAGCATTCTAGTCATTTTACCTATTTTTATTATTTTTAGTTAAAATATATATATATATATATATACCCACGTATATTACAAAACATAAATGTAAATTATGTTGTTATAAGTTATTACCATATATATGCATGTATGTATATCTATATTACCATAAATTTATATATATATATATATATATATATATATATTTTTATTTATTTGTATATAGAGAGGTCTTAAAATCATACAAATATTCTACAAGTTTGAAACTTTATTAAACCGATATAAACCACATATGTTCTTCTTTCATCTCTTGTTCATCTTCTTCTCACCTTTTCTTCACCTTTGCAGCAAAGATGATGATGCAAGAATATAAATATTTGTTTTTTGCTTCAAAGTTTATTCAGGTTTTTGATTTAGATTTATGATTTCAGGGTTTGATTCATATTTATGGTTTCAAGGTTCGTATCACAATCTTTTTGAATGAATTTATACTAAAGTGTTGTCTATACTCATCGTTTGAAATTGGACTTCAATGTTATTGGGAATTTATTGTTTTGTCACTAAATTGAGAGGTTGGTGATGCTGGTCGTGGGTTGTCTCTATTTTCGCTGAAAGAGGGGTGGGAGAAGACGGTTTCCAGCAAAATGCGGTGTCGGAAAAGAAGGGGAGGATGCGTCTGGAAGAGGGTTGGGGGATTCCGGTCCATTTCTTGGAAATAATTTTAAAATATTAAATAATTAAAATACCTTTTATTTAAACGAAATTAACCGAAAACTTTAACGTCTACCAAATAGAGGAACGGAATCTATTGTAAATTGACAAACGTGATGGACCAAACTTAATTTAGTAAACAAAGTTGAGGGACAAAATCCATTAAAATGAACAAACTTTAAGGACCAAAATAACACTTTACTCTATAAATAAATTAACAATTGCGACATTTGGATGAGATTTCAATTCCAAACCACCCGCCGCCAGAGGGGCCCTCCCCGCCCCGGGGTGGGGGCTGGGTTCTTTAGCAACACCTGATTTTAGTACAATAGCGACGGTAGAAGGAATATTGGAAAAGTGTGGCATACTTCACCCACTCCTCTTCGAATTTCTGCAAATCATTAAACCAAACCATAAACGCACATAGGGAAGGTTCATCATCGTCCAACCATGATGAATCGATAAACAGCTCAACCCCACAACACAATAAAAGTAGCTCCATTTTTTAGGTCCATTTCTCTAAAAATTGAAGCAGGTTCATATGAAACCCCAAAGAAAAAACCGCTTAAACTGAGCTGCTGCTTCTGCACTGTCGCTTATTAACTTCTCGAGGTTTCGTTATTCTTCTGGGTTTTTCAATTTGTTTAATTTTGTTGAAGCGTTGATGGGTAGCTATGGATTTAACTATTTTGCATTTGGTGAATTTTGTTGAAACGTTAATGGGTAGCTATGGATTCAATTTGTTTACCTACTTCTTCTTGAAATCCATTTATTTAGTATTATTATCATTGGATTTCATGTTATGGGTATTCAATGTTGACATTTGTTGTCTAGAAGACTTGTATTTCATGTTTTGGGATCTGGTTTGTTGGGGTTTAGATAGTGTGTTTCGTGTAAGTTAAGAATTGATGCCCTTGATAGCTTTGCTTCTACTTTTAAGGTTTATGTTGTAGCGGAGAAGGCATATTAACCAACAAATGCCTATGACAATGGGGTTTTGATGATATTCAGATGGGTATTTGCTATTCTGTGTAGTTTACAATATACTAGAAAGGGGGGAAAATCAAAGTTGGTTGATAGAAAAGATTGTGTAACATTGGAGCAACCAGTTTTTCATGGTAACAGTCTGTTTGCAAAGAAAAAGACTGCTCAGGGACACCTACCCTCAAAGTAAAGGAACCTAAGTCCTCCACTCAATTGTTAGAAGATAATCAATCTCTTTCTCATCCTTCTGTTCATTTATATCAAGAATTTTCCTGAAAACTTAACTCTGAGGTCTTTAGTTCGGATTCCAGACAGAGTGTGTCAAGTGGCGAAAATTTCCCTAAAAACTTGGGATTTTCTGTATTGGGACTCGAGGGGTTTTAGCTTTCGAGCTTTTAGTTGGTTGAATCTCTTGAGAACAACTTCTCTTAAGTTGCTCAAAGGAAATTTGAGTCGATATTGAAGATACTTCTTTACCTGGATGCTAAATGCTAACTTAAGCCAAAGATTTAGAATTTCTTTTTGCTTTCTCTGTGTTAAAAAGCTACCATCTATGCATTTAATCTATTTGTTTCTCTATTAGAAAGAATAAGTAATTCAATGGCTCCTTAGGCTCTTATATACATGTACTCATAATCTCTCACAGGTTGAGCTAGCAGTGGAGGCTTTTAGTTGATCGGTCAATGAAGTTTTACATCGCCTTATTTCTGTTCCTAGCATCAATTTCTGGAGTTTTGCCACAAAATGTCGAAGAGGCATATCTTGTGATTAATGGGACTTTACCTGTGGCTCATACGGATGCAAATTATATTTGTGCTACTATTGATTGGTGGCCAACTAATAAGTGTGACTACCAACAATGTCCATGGGGATCTTCATCTGCTTTAAATCTGGTAAGCATGTACATTTATGGAAGTGCTTGTTGATGGAAAAAGATGATAGTTTGCAAATTCTTAATGTATTACAATTATCATATCCTCAGGATTTGTCTCATCCTTTTCTAGCCAAAGCGATTCAAGGTTTGTTTTTCTTGGTTGTATTTTATGGCAACATTTGCTTATGATGTCCTGTAATGTAAGTCACTTGGTCTTACTACTTGATGGCTTCGACAGCTTTTGAACGTTTGAGAATACGAGTTGGAGGTTCCTTACAAGACCAAGTATTGTACAGCGTAGGTGGTTTCTTGGGTCCTTGCCACCCGTTCTTCAAAATGAAAGGGGGGCTGTTTGGGTTCTCGAAGGGATGTCTTCATATGAGTAGGTGGGATGAATTGAACCAATTCTTCATTAGAACAAGGTGAGCTTTTACTTTTTATCTTTCCATTTCATATATTATTTTTGTACAACATATATTTATGTATCAATTTCATCAACAAGATATATTTCATGTTTGATTGACTTCATGAAGATGCATAGCTTGTTACTCCATTTTTCTCAAAATAAATGCAACATTTGAATGACGAGGGGTCGTTTGGCTATTAGTTAAATATCTAAAATACCCTTCAACGAATGAGAAGAATCATGTGATAGATGGAGTATTAGGCAACTTATAGGGATATCCCTGAAGGAAATTTTTGCGTTTATTTTCTGATAGATGGGGTATTAGGCAACTTATACATCAATGGCTACCAAAAAAAATTCAAATGTTCCTTCTATTCCTGATCTTTGATGTACTCCCTCTGTCATCTTGATGTTTGACTTTGCACATATGTTGGGAGTGTTTGACTATTAGTCTAGTTTCTAAACTACCCTTCAATAATGGAAACTTAGGGAGAATCTTGTGGGGCTAATTTTGTCACATCAGTACTTTGTAACAGAAGGAGTACTTTAAATTCTTCATAAGTTTATCAGTTCCCCTTTTTCTACTCAAGCAAGTACTTATAATGTTCTCAAATCTTATATGCTTAAAACGGAACTTGTTGATTGTAGAGCACTTGTGACATTTGGCTTGAATGCACTCCACGGGAGACACCAGATTAAAAAGGGAGTTTGGGGAGGAGATTGGAATTCTAGCAATGCCCGTGATTTCATAAAGTATACGGTTTCCAAGGGATATCAGATAGACTCATGGGAATTTGGTATATTTTTGTAAACAGTTATTTATGTACTTACAAATTTTTGTTAGCACTTGGTCAAAATAATGCACGGTATAAAGTGATTTAAATTCTGCATTTTGGGTGCTTGCTGCACAAATTTGTTCAGTGAGTGCTTATATGCTTCTTTCTTTTTAACTTATTTCACATCAATGAGAATTTCTGGTCTTACCTATCAGAAAAGAAAAAGGAAGGCAGTATGCACCTTCATAGTTCTCATTGCTACATTGATCGCTGCAGGTAACGAGTTAAGTGGCAAGGGGGTTGGTGCAATGGTGGAAGCCGAGCAGTATGGGAATGATTTGCTTGAACTTAGGGGAATAATTGACAATACATACAGGCAATTCCGGCCAAAACCATTACTCGTAGCACCAGGAGGGTTCTTTGACAAACAGTGGTTTGCTGAGCTTCTTAAAGTTTCAGGTTCCGAGATTGTCAATGTCATGACACACCATATGTACAATCTAGGCCCAGGTTTGTGCTGGTCAATATGCTGATTTCCGATTTTGGATGTTTGTGAGTTAGTTGAGATTGAGAAAGGTGGTTAAGAGCTAATATAGCAGCCTGTTTTTGACTTTTTGAGTGTCAAATGTGTTCACTTTTAACTTCACGATTGACAAGAATAGTTTTCTTTGTGTAGAAAGACCAATAACCACATTTCAGAACACAAAATGTGGTAAAATATAGACATTTTGGAGATAAAAAATACCAACCGAATCTATGTTATACTTTAAATCCAGAAATTACTGGTTTTGACTGTTTAGAAGTCAATGACTGCATTTTCTTTATTCAGGTGTTGATCCAAATTTGGTGAAAAAGATTTTAGATCCACGTTTCTTGAGTCGGGCATCTGTCACATTTAATGATCTTCAACAAACCATTCAAACTGATGGCCCCTGGGCATCTGCTTGGATCGGAGAATCTGGTGGGGCATACAACAGTGGCGGCCGTCATGTTTCAGACACTTTTGTAAATAGCTTCTGGTAATCATCTCTAATGCATTTCAAAGGTGGACCTGTGACTGTGTGACCTTCCGGAATCAAACCTGGTGATTCAAGACCAATATTTCTATTACTTGGCTCATTTATGCATTGAATATGTATAGGTATTTGGATCAGCTTGCAATGGCAGCTAAGTATCACACGAAAGTTTATTGCCGACAAACATTAATTGGAGGAAATTACGGTCTCCTCAACAAAACTACATTCATGCCTAACCCTGATTACTACAGGTAACGATATTGAGAACTTGGCTAAATTTTGTATGCATTTTTGTGTTCAAACTTTGGCTAAACATGACCGATATTGTTTTGTTGAATGAATGCATGAATGTAGTGCGCTTCTTTGGCATCGGCTTATGGGTACTGGAGTTCTTGACGTTGACAGAAGAAACATCGGACCACATTTGCGGACTTATGCCCATTGCTCAAAAGGGAAAGTAAGTTCATGTTTCTATATTTATAACTCTGTTTTGCCATAAAAGATCGAGCATTAAACTGGACATATAGTTTTAGAGAAGTGCACGTGTGTCGAATGTTTGAACCGCCTTTTAGCAAGTCTTGTGGAATTATAAATGAAGATGATATTGTAAACTGAGAACTTTCCAAAAATGGAAATATTTCTTTTCTTGGAAAGATGGATTTATTAGGGTCATATTAAGGATCTATTCAAATTTAAGGTGACTTGACATGTAATTACCTTAAAAGGAAACATTGACATTTGATGTGAGACCAACGGAGCATACGGCGTTTGTTTCTCATATATTCACTATAACAAAATCGGGTTTATAAGAATTATAGGATCAAACATTGTATCTGTATGTCCCGTAAAAGGTGTTATAACATCTCCAACAAGTATGCTATATTTTATCCATCTTCTAAATTTGGAGATTTTTTCTCTCTTACTTTTTCTATTTTAGCAGCGAGTTCAAAATAGCTTTTGGAGCAAACCTTTTACAAATTTCAAGAATTTCTAAAATAGCATAGTTGTTGGAGATGCTCTTACAATAGGATGTTAGCACGAATTTGGGCAGCCTAACAAGTTTTTTAATACTTACAAAATAAAGTGTCATGTTAGCTGACTTTTAAGAAGTGTCATATATACACATCTTTTTATAAGACAGTTGTTCTTATCAGATGTTTTTAAGATAATGTCATATAAAAAGACTAAGAGAATTTTTATTTCAAATGTGTCCTAAAAAACTTGTTAGGACGCCCAAAAATGTCCTCTCAACTTATTGTAACATCTTTACATAAGACTTACAATTGTTTTATAAAACAGTTTGTTAGATGTCCTATAAAGCCGATTTTGTTGTAGTGGTTGTTCTCTTAAGAAACAACCTTTCTACCCCGAAACCCTATATCTGCGTGAGATTTACCGGATTCATTTAGTTTGGGTTATATGTTGTTGCAGACGGGTATAACTTTGCTTCTGATCAACCTAAGCAACCAGACTCATTTCAAACTCGGTGTTCACAACATTCTGAACATGAATCTGCGTACAACTCAACACGAAACCTCGAAAAAGAAAACATCACTCGTCCATGGTCTCAAAACAACAGTCTCGTGGGTCGGATCGAAATCTACGGATGAAGAGTTGTCACGAGAGGAGTACCACTTAACGCCTCAACATGGATATATCCGGAGTAAAACGATGCTTTTAAATGGTGTTCCATTGGAGCTAACCAAGAACGGAGACGTCCCAAGTTTCAGACCTGCCATGGTGAAGCTGAACACTCCGATCTCTATCGCTCCTTTATCCATCAAGTTCTTGCAGTTTCCGAACTTTGATGCGCCGGGTTGTACATGATGCTTCTGTGTTTGTACTTTGCGAAACTTGGTTGTGTTTGTTGTGTGTTCACTTGTATACATAAATCATGCTCTCTTAAGTGTAAAAAAACCGAAAGAAAATTGTAAGTATGGTAATTCCTCTTGTTTTAGTGTAGTGAAGTTATCAGCTGTTTGGGAGATCTAAGAAAAGTTTGCTTTAACAGTTATGTTAAATTTTTCTCTATTTAAAAGGAAAAAATAGAGAACTGTTATTTTTATTCTTGTACTTTGAAAATTATGATTTTTATCCATATGGTTTATAATTTATAGTTGTTTTTATCTTTATGGTTTATAATTCATTGTTATTTTAAACCACAAAAGTGGTGTCTGATTAGTTTGAGCTTGACTCCAAAGGTCAAAAGTACTAGGAGGTCCCAGGTTCAAATCCAAGGAGGAATAAAAATTCTCTTGTGGCTACGAAGGTTCAAATGTGGTGACTATGGGTTATCTGCAAAGCAGGTGGTCGTCCTGAGATTAGTCAACTCGCATAGCGGGTTGGATATCCAGGTTAATTCAACAGCTAGGATAACATGGTCATTTTTATCTTTTAGTTGGTTTATTCAACACAACAAATGAACAACAATTTAGCTTTATCTGTACAAACAAATTAATCCATACATGGCTTAATAAAAAAATCAACCAAACAACCCCTAATCCCAAGATTCCTCAGTCTTCGTATCATTTTTTCAGGATGGGTTTGGATGCTAGGCCAATAAAATATATTAATTATTATAACAAAAGATATAATTATAATTAAATTATTTATTATTAATCACATCAATTATTTTTTAACTATTATTCAATATATTAATTATCAAAAAGCAAATATAACAATTCTAATAATGTTTATGTAAGGGGTTGTTTACTAGGCGCTGACCGGTCAGCAATGCTGACTCGGTCAGCAGTCAGTTTGTTTACCGAATTACTTCTCTGACCGGACACTGACCGAGACGCTGACCGAGTGCTGACTGAGACCGCACGAAAATATTGCTTACCCGAGTCAGATTTCTTCTTTCCGTGCTTGCCCCTTTCACACAAGTTTTCATCTCATTCTTGTCGCTCCTCCCCTCTCCCTCATCGTTCCATTCCAGTCGCTCCTCCCTTCTTCCCTATCGTTCCTTCCTCCTCCCTGTCTCTCCAGACTCTCGACGCTCCTCACCTTCTCTCATAGTCGCTCGCCTTTCATCCCTGGTAATCGATTTGGGAGCCACAGTTTGTGTAACAGGTACTTTCTCTCCATCTTTTCTCTTTTTTTTTTTCTGGTAATCGATGCCATTTCTGTAATTTCTTTTCTCTGTCTTCTCCTCTGCATCACCATGGCAATGGAACCATAGTCTGCAGAAAACCCAATATGAAGAAAAGATGGTGGGCATTTGAAAAARTATGAAGCATTAGGGAAATGATTAGCACTAGGGAAAAAGGAGGTGTAGGCAATGGAAGTATGGAACCATAGTCTGCAGGTAGAGAGAGAGAGAGAGAGATGGGACATTAGGGAGGTCTAAAAAATTGTACCTCCCCTTTTATATATATTAATATATATATATATATTACGTAAAGTGGAGGTAATGGCTGGAGCTTGAGTTTGAAGGCAAACATATGCAAATGCAAATGCATTCATATTGTATTATAATAATAAGAATGTATTGGGAATCCGATGCAATTTCTTTTGGTATTAACGTTTCAKATYCCGTTTGTATTTAAGTATGAACGACTATTAATATATTTTTCTGTTTAATTTGAAGTATGAAAATTATATTTTGTTGTTTTATTTGACAGATAACATATGAAAAGAAGTAAAATGGTATTATTTTTATTGGTAAGCATTTA